TATTCATTTCCATAAATCTGTTCAACGTGCCATTTCAATCGATTAAAAAAAAAAACTCTAAATCCCAGTGTGGTATTTTCTTGTATCAAGATAAGCCATAGTCATTTCATAACTTAAAAAAAAAAAAAAGTTAAAATTGTTTACATTATTTTGATGAGATAAAGTAATGGAAAAGCATGTTGTCATTGTTTTTTTACAGTGTGTATATTTAAATATATTTATTGTATTTAGTTAGCTTCATGCATATAACTGAAAATGTATACACTTTTTATTTACCGCCTTCATGAAACCACTGAAATTCAGCTGAAATACCACAATTGTCTATTTTCCTACTCATTTCAAGTTAATAATTCTGCATATTGTTGGGCCTTTGCAGTTTGTAGTAATCTTAATAGATTTATGCATTCATAATGTTTAATTAAAAAAAAAAAGTTTTTGTAAGATACTTTTGATCAATTAATAATTCTTGAGTTGTTACTTGATCAATGTAAATTCCTGAAGAAAAACTAGTTGATAACCACTGGTCTTCGTCAGCATCATATGTACCATGCTAATACAGACAAATGAACGCACAGCTCTTAGACATACTCAACACTCTCTCACCTTCCTATGAGAAAATTAATCAATCTGCTAATGCAGCAAATCATTCATTAAGCACAAAACAGCCTGTTTAATGAAGGAGCTGGAGTTCAGGGAAGTGTCATCAAGGGCACATCAGCTGGCCGTCACCTGACCAACACCTTAACAAGCCTTGTGATTGTCTTAATATATCCGGACTGGCAGACCTCACACCTGACCACTCATGAATCCACCTCATACATTTTTATGGCATGTTCCCATTCCTCTCTTTCCTTCTCTCTCTCTCTCTCTCGCTCTCGCTCTCTCTCTCTCACTCACTCACTCACTCAGCAGACTTAGTAATGGTCTACATCAATCCTTTCTTGCCCTCGAATAGGAATGTAAATTTCTGTCTGCCTATTAATTTCTGTTAACCCAGGAGGCGTTGGGCTCATTAATCGTGACCAGGGACAGGGCTCCTCGATAGCTGCGAGTGATAAAACGCACAGTGTGAGGGCAGATGCGGGGGTCCAGATAAGTGAGGACGGCTGGAGCAGCAGGAAACACTACACAGTCTTTAAAGTTTCAAGCACCACAAATAACAAGGCCGATATGTTGTAATTTTAATTATTTTAAATATTACTAGGGTTCATTCATTTGTTTTAGTTTTAGTTCATTTATAGTATTTATTTATTTATTTTATTTCCAGTTAGTAATTTTAGTGCTTAGTAACTTATACTAAACCAAAAATTGGAAATGTTGCTTTGCCTTTTTTACTTTTAATTTTAGTTTTAGTTAACGCTAATGTCTTGAGCACCGTTTACACCTGTTTTTAGTGTTGACTTTTTTGATCGGACTCAAGATTGTTAAAGGCAGTTATAAACTGGGCCAAAGACTCATTTTAATTACAACCATTCATCAAGCACATTCTCGAATGCTCCTTAAACATACGTTTTATAATGGGAAACGTTTAGCCTGTTTCCAGCAGTGTGATGACACCAGCAGGGGGCTAATAGATCCACAGGGCTCCTCGATAGCTGCGAGTGATAAAACGCACAGTGTGAGGGCAGATGCGGGGGTCCAGATAAGTGAGGACGGCTGGAGCAGCAGGAAACACTACACAGTCTTTAAAGTTTCAAGCACCACAAATAACAAGGCCGATATGTTGTAAAAAGTTGGATGACAAATATCGGTTTTCAATTTTTTATTAGGACATTACACAGTGTAGTTTGATGAGGCATGTTGTGTGTAATAGCTGATGGGGCTCTCAAAGAAAAGGTGGTACTTCAAATTTGTTGAATTGTTTCAGTGGGTGTGAAATATATTTATTTTATGTATTTTCATTTTATGCAACTTTTATTTTTCTTTATTATTTGCACTAATACTTTCTTTATTATTGGCAATAAACCTAGTCCTGTATACTATAAATATTGTTGGCTCTGTGACGAATTGCTTATGTTCCTCTTTTGTAAATCACTTGGGATAAAAGCATCTGCTAAATGCGTAAATGTAAATTTAATATGTTAATTTAACAAGCCTAAAAATACATTTTGCCTGCTTTTATTATGCACATATATTTCTGACTCTGAATGTCTTTTCAGCATTGCTATTGTAGTATAATTATTTAAATAATACTTTTTATATTATAATATATATATACTATTTATTGTTTTTATGAATATTTAGAATTAGAATTTAGGCTGTTTACACCTGTATTTAGTGTTGACTCTTTGTGATCGGACTCGAGATTGTTAATGGCAGTTGTAAATGGGCCAAACACTCATTTTTATTACAAGCATTCATCAAGCACATTCTCGAATGCTCCTTAAACATACGTTTTATAATGGGAAACGTTTAGCCTGTTTCCAGCAGTGTGATGACACCAGCAGGGGGCTAATAGATCCAAAGCCTTTATGACTGCATTCTGTATAATCTTGCTTGTGAAGTCACAAGATGAAAAGCCATAATTTTAATGTAGTGGATATTAACAAACCACTGAAGAGTCTGGTTCTCCATTTTTTACTTGATGTCTGATGGTCCACCAGCAAATTCGTAAACTCGACAGCACAATTCAAATTCTAAATCAGAACAAGGCAGATGCCCAATTCACTTTTTCTAGAGCATTTTCCCACACAATTACCGAAACCCAAGACGTGATGACTGCTAAAGTAGCTCATATTTCCGATCCAATTCTGAGAGCCTCTTTCTCTCCCTCTATGAAATCACGCTGGGAGAGAGAATCTGAATTGAGTTTTGATATTTGTGCCAGAGAACTGATCCACAGATGACACCCACAGCACACGAGAGCCATTCCAGCTTAACAAAGACAGACCCACGGCTGCTCTTGTCTAGTGCTGTCTGACAGGATACAGCATGCCATATACACTGCCACTCACCACACTCCGTCAGCATAGATTCAGTTGGATATGCAATATGATCTGCAGTTTTACATTTGCTAAGGTCTTTTGTAATGTACAGTGATTATAATTGAAGAAGGGTGAAATATTAAAAGACTAGTTCACCAAAAAATGAAAATTTCCTGAAAATATACTCAACCTCAGGCCGTCCAAGATGTAGAAGAGGCAAAGAGATTTGGAGAAATTTAGCATTACATCACTTACTCTAGATCCTCTGCAGTGAATGGGTGCCATCAGAATGAGAATTCAAACAGCTGATAAAAATATCACAAGTAATCCACACCACTCCAGTCAATCAGTTAACGTCTTGTGAAGTGAAAAGCTGCGTGTTTGTATGAAACAAACCCATCAAGGCGTTTTAACTATAAACCGCTGCTTCTGGACGAAATACCAGTCCATAAATCCTTAATAACACTTCCTATAGTGAAAAAGTCCATCCCTGTTGTTCTCTGACATCAAAATCCACCAACATATTTGTCGACAACTGTTTTGTGTTTGATCTGTGACTATTTCTCTCTTGATTCAGACAAGATGACTGAGACCGTTGGTGAGCAAGTCATGTAATGCTACAATTCTCCAAATCTGTTCCAAAGAAACAAACTCTATATCATCTATATCTTGGAATCACTTTTGGGTGAACTATTCCTTTAAAGAAATCTCTTAACTCTAAAGTCAATATCTGAATGTTATGTAATCATCTTGACTGCCTCGTCATCTATACTTGACCTCGAACATTGACGCTTGTGTATGTGAGCATCTGCCTTTATTGTGCATGAGTTTGCAATGCTATTCAGTCGAGATTCTGTACAGTACAGCTAGGCCTTGGAACTTTTACCCATTTATAGAATATAAACTGACCAATAGATACATTTAAATAAAAGGCAGTTTATATATATATATATATATATATATATATGAACTCTTTATGATTGTTGCAATACAGTTTGTTCAGAAATACTTAAGAGGTTGATTTTTTTTTATGATGAAACTCTTCCACAAACATTGGCATAGTTTTTATTTTTTATTTTTTATTTTTTTGCCATGAATAAAAGTTCATAAGCAAGAAAAGTGTTTCTAGGAGGCAATAACACATGAAAAAAACAATAATTATTATAAACTGACATCTGAAAAATCAAGCCTGGTGATGTTTTTTTTTTTCTTTTTCTCAAGTTTAATCAGGTTGTAATTCCCTGATATGAGGTCTGTTGTTGTTTAGATGGAGCAGCACAGTTCAGTTCAGTTTTTTTTTTTTTTTTTTTTTGTTTTTTTTTTTTCATTTTTTTTTTTTGGTTTTGTGTTTAGATATTTTCACTGGCTAAAATACTGAAAAATAAAATATTCTTTTTCAGCATTTTTATTGATTGGACTGAGTTTGTTTGAGCAGAACATATAAAAGTGACAGAAAGCACTTTTAAAAGCCTCTGACTGTGTAAACTTGTGGACGTATTTATGTGGACAAACTTTCCTGTTGAAAGCCTTGCTGTCGACAGCCGAGAGTAAATTTCTTTTACATTTATTCTGCTGTGCATTCTATGGCTTTCTTGCTCCCTCTTGTGGCCTAGTTCAATCCCGACTTCTCAAAATGTGTTATTTTTACAGGCACCTTGTTTTGTAGACAAGTTTGTTTCCGTCGTATTTTTCTGAAAGTACATTCTCATTGAATTCTGATGTTTGCCTGTGGCTGAATTTTTTTTTTTTTTTTAGGCACCTCATATTTAATCACAGGATTATTGGAAAGAGCCATGTTCAAACAGTCATACACCAGTGGAACCCAGCAAACACAGATGCACACCAGTGAAGCGTATCCGATTTCACCCTAATCTCATCCTCATCTTTGCTCATTCTCTTCTATGACCTTTCATACTCTGCTATATTATGACACACACACTTTTGATACAAAACACACACACATCTATCACCAAAACATAACTAAATACTCATTGGTTGGATCCTTTCAAAGAATCATTCCTTTGTCACCAAAACAGATAATCTCTCACCTAATACCTTCTTGTTTCCACAATGCAGCTGCTTAACAGAAACCACAGAATGAGAATGAGACAGCCAAAGAGAAGCTTAATGTGTTCCTGTGGGTCACAGGTTACTGATTCTGCCAAGCAGGACATGTTCTTGGATTCACCTCAAGTAATTCCCAACTAATAGTTCTTGCAGCCATGGTTGTGACTGAATGTAATAATGTCCCATGTTTTCACCTGTAAAATTAAATTATTTAGCTTCATAAATAAAAAAATAACAGTTACAAGGGACATTGACGCACACTTGTGCACTTGAAATAAGACTTGTTTCTAGCTTTTCATTCATGACAGCAATTCATATTTCAACTTGGAAATTTGCCCTTTTTAGAGTAGCAGTTTTCAATTCATGGTGGGTGTGTGTGTGTGTGTGTGTGTGTGTGTGTGTATACAGTATCTCACAGAAGTGAGTACACCCCTCACATTTTTGTAAATATTTTATTATGTCTTTTCATGTGACAACACTGAAGAAATGACACTTTGCTACAATGTAAAGTAGTGAGTGTACAGCTTGTATAACAGTGTAAATTTGCTGTCCCCTCAAAATAACTCAGTTTTTATTATTTTTAATAATTTTAGTTTTTATTATACCATATAGTTTTTATTATTTTTATTTTAGTGGTAATTATTTTAGTACATAAAGCTAAACTAAGTTAAAATGCTTTACCTTACCCATATATTATTATATTATATTATATTATATTATATTATAAATAATAGAATTAAGACATGTCATGCTCAGAAACAAGTTCTGACGAAACTGATTTCATAACCATTTTTTATGCTTTTTTTTCCATTTTGAGAGCCTCAAGATTTAGCATTTAAATTAATGTTAAATTCATGTCACATTCAAGTGCATTTTTATGTTGTATAAAATAAACAAGCCCTGTGCATCTGATTTTAAAATGTTGTTATCCTTAGTAATCATCAGGACAAGCAATAGACATTATTGACACAGGAGCCAGAAAGTCAGGTTTGGCGCAGTCACTGTGGATGCCAATACATCCGAGTTGCTGAAATTCCTCCCTGTACATCTGTAGTCTCAACTGACACTCAGTCCAGTTAAAATCTAGTTAAAGACAGTGAGCCGACTCAGACTGAGCTCGCCAATCACAAAGGGGTCAGATTCTGACCTTTCCTTCCCTTGCTCAGCGCCGAACTTGTTGGCTTCACGCCTCAAATTGACACCTAAATGGTTTTGTATAACGCCACTTACATTGATTACAGTCATATTCCCTCTAGAGCTTCTCAGCCAGAGGAGAATCTCACATTCAATTACAGAAAACTTGTTTCATTGATTTTTCGTTTGGTGCTCACAGCTGCGAGTTGTGAGTGCAAACGCGTATGTTAGTGAATGTCCGCTGAAGCGTCCCTGGCTGTCCTTGAGATCCGGGAAAGCTTCTATTCTGCCATTAACAAACAGTGGATCTCGAGTTCACCTGTGAAATGTGCTCTGGGTAATTTACTCAATGAGTATTGACCGGCTGAAGATATGGACACTGCAGTCATCTCCCGTTCATCAGTTCATCTCTCCGCAGTGCTCAGTCAAGTAGTAGATATTAGACTGAATGTGTTCATTCAGACAATGTAGTCTGATTCTTTCAGTGCACAATGAAGAAGTCTTGCTGCAGTTCCTTTTTGGCCCATATCTGTTTCTGTGAAGGAAATTGTGATCAGTTTTTGTCATCTTAATATGTCTTTATAAAAGTGCACTTGCAATGTTATTTTTGTTTTATTTAAAAAACCTTTTTGTGAGTATGCATCTTCAGCTACACATTGAAAATCCAGTCAGTGAGTCAGAATCAGTGAATCTTCTGATTGATTCAGCAAGCAAATCATTATAAGATGTTTTGAGTCTTTCTATCCGGTTTATTGAAATAGCAGGCTCATTCATTCGTAAATCAGGCTACACTGGTCTTGCTGTATTATTGTTTTTGTGTGAAAACTTGTTTCATTGATTTTTCGTTTGGTGCTCACAGCTGCGAGTTGTGAGTGCAAACGCGTATGTTAGTGAATGTCCGCTGAAGCGTCCCTGGCTGTCCTTGAGATCCGGGAAAGCTTCTATTCTGCCATTAACAAACAGTGGATCTCGAGTTCACCTGTGAAATGTGCTCTGGGTAATTTACTCAATGAGTATTGACCGGCTGAAGATATGGACACTGCAGCCATCTCCCGTTCATCAGTTCATCTCTCCGCAGCGCTCAGTCAAGTAGTAGATATTACACACCCATGACTCAGTCTGTTCATTCAGACATTGGATGTCAGTTCCTGGAACGACTATGTAGTCTGATTCTTTCAGTGCACAATGAAGAAGTCTTGCTGCAGTTCCTTTTTGGCCCATATCTGTTTCTGTGAAGGAAATTGTGATCAGTTTTTGTCATCTTAATATGTCTTTATAAAAGTGCACTTGCAATGTTATTTTTGTTTTATTTAAAAAACCTTTTTGTGAGTATGCATCTTCAGCTACACATTGAAAATCCAGTCAGTGAGTCAGAATCAGTGAATCTTCTGATTGATTCAGCAAGCAAATCATTATAAGATGTTTTGAGTCTTTCTATCCGGTTTATTGAAATAGCAGGCTCATTCATTCGTAAATCAGGCTACACTGGTCTTGCTGTATTATTGTTTTTGTGTGCAATAGAATGATATGTTTTATCTTCATTGTCTTTGTATTATTTTGTGGTACTCCCTTTATGTTCTTATCACAATCAATTTAGACCGCAAACTCACTATTGGGTATTGATTTAATAATAATATTAATAATAATAATAAAACACCAAATTGCTGTACTATTTAATTTTAGTACAAGAGAAAGTCTTATATGGTTCTAAACCGTACCAGATTAGGGTTCTTCATCTTGCAACAATAGCAAAAAAACTTTTATAAGATATATAAAGTACAATGTTTTGGAAGTGCTACGGTATATAAAACTTTAATGGTTTAAAAAAAAAAGCCTTTTAAATAATAGTTTTGTTTTATTATTATTAGTTTTTGTATTTTTTATTTATATTAGGGTTTTCCCCCTCTTTCTGCATGGTCTTATAATAATTCATATCCTCTATTAGATTTACATTAGTGAAACCGATAGCAAGCCATTTCAATTAGGTACATCTATTTTTACATCAATTTTAAAATGGTATCCTCAAATGAACCGAGCTGTTCACTCTTGCATGCTCTGTTCAAATTCTAAAACGAAAAAAAAAGACATGATTCATAGGAAATCAGTTACAATTTGAAAGATTTAAATCAAACATAACCTTTCAAAGTTAAAATTTCTAGACATTTGAAGGATAATAACTACCTGTTGAGAGTGTGTTGGCAGTCTGTGTAGTTGGATGGTTGAGCTCCAGAAAATCAATAATGAGGTGGCATTGAAAGGATTTTGAGTTATATATGTAAAAAAAACTAAAAGGCAGGAATAAAGAACCATATTCTCTAATGCAAAGAGGCATTTCAGCACTAATAAGCATTAAATTCTAAATTGAGTTGTATCCAACTGTATAAGGAGTCCAATCACTGTTTCCCACTCCAATTGGTTGGTGCCACGTCGTCATTTGCATACTATACACTTAAACTCTGCTCAACCATGTTGCATCATTCACCAGAACAGCTCAAATCACCTATTTTAAATGAATGATTTCCGGTCACTTTGTTGCTGCAAATCGCAAGTCACCTCTTAAGTGTTACATCATTCAACTGAGCGCAATTTTGATCCCGACACGTCGTTACCATTGCCATGTGGTGATCCGTGAAAGAATATCCTGGCCTCATTCTGTTCCTCATTGAAATGGTTCTGATTTCCCCGCCATGAGATAAAGACATTTGAATAATGATATAATATTATCATGCTCTGTGATGACACGCAGGCTGATGGCTATCAACAGATCTTTCCATAGAATTTGAAAGCTTCTCTGCAACAAATTCAGAATCTACTTGGGCACATTGTATAAGCATACAAATACAGAACGACCGTGCATTGCTGATATAAGGATGAAATATAATCTCAAAGAAATGTATTCCCTTGCTATAGTTTGATAGCGGCACGCTAACGTGGTTTTGATTGAATTTTTGACTTACAGCATATGTCTACACTGGTAAACAACAGCCTCTATTTATCCAAAGAGACGTCAGTGAAGTTACATGGCTCAGGAAGTAAAGCACTGGAGCAATCAACAAAGGTAATCGGAAAGTGCTCTGTGGCTGTATGGTTTTAAAACATTGCTATTAGTCTTCAGGTCAGCCCGTGCTGAAATACTGCAGGGTGAGTTTGAGCCCAGATGCAGTCTGAATGATTTACCTCCCGTCACTTGTGTTTCACCAGAGGTTACAGCTACTCCTCAGAGCATGAACAACACTCTAGCAAAGTGAAGGGAAAGAATGACAGACATGGATAAAGGAGGTCAAAACAAGAGAGATACTTTCCCCACACCTGGTCTCCCCATTTGTCCCTCAGGATATGGACAGATATCCATTCAAGCAGAGATATAACAAACAAGCGATAAACAAATACTGAAAAATGGCACATGCTAAATCCAGCATGTCTCGAGAGCTCAAGAGTTGAGGCCATATTAAGTGACAAGTTACCAAGAAGTTCAAACTAAAGTTGGAATTGTTAGGGTGAAGTTGGTATAGTTTATCTAGGAATAAGATGGAAGACCAATTGGGTTTGGAAGCTGTGGAGTAAACACATGGTTTGACGGATAGCATGAACTGGCTACTGCAGTGTTGATTCAGTTCATATGTTCGATTCCAATCAAAGCTTCTATTTGTTTGGGCCATTGTTAGCCGCTCTCTTATGGCTTTGAGGGTTTGTTGGTGTTGTTGAGTTTAGAGAGAACACTCTCTCATGCAATCCGTGGCCTCATTGGCCTTCATCGCTGCTTCACTGATCGCAGTGTTTTCTGAAGAGTGTGGATTTCCATGTTTATTGTTAAAAATAAAAGATGAACATGTTGCAGTCTTTTACGTGTTTAATATCAATTCTGTTCTATTTCGTCTTTCTGTCTTGGGCTACTTTTGTGTTATTTTTATGGGTGTACAGCATGGGAATTGAGAGTTCCTTTTAAATTAAATTGAATTTGAGTTTAATTTAAGGTAGCGAACAGGATGCAGAATTGCAACTGGAATTTGAATATAAGGAAATAGAATTAAAATGAATTGAAATGCTAGATAGA